ATTTTTAAATATGATTAAGGTGTGTTGGATGTAATTTTAATTTGAAGAAGGTTAATTTATAAAACCTCCAGGAATACAAGAAGCAAAGTAGAGTTTCCAAACAGAAGACTGAGTGCAGTAGATATATGACCCAGGTAGAAGGTAGATGATGCCATAAGCAATGCATCTCAGTGTTTGTTTGCGTTATATCAGTTGAGATAAGATTCAGTACCACACTATACATCACTTGTGCATCTTTGATGGTTGAAGAAGCATTTATTTTTTTAGAAATCTTGTTTATATACCGGTTTCAATAAATCGAACACAATTCCATAGCATGAGCACCTGTACCAGCTTTGAGTAACTGTATTCTGTACCATAATCGTAGATATTTTTTCAGGGTGGAGCCTCTATTAACCTATAATTTACCCATCCACATTTCCCTCCCAGAGTTTGGAATGTATCAAGCAACGCAACGAATAAGTGCAAAAAATAAAGTGTAATGGAACATATTAAGTGGTGGCAACGGGGCACATGTCCATGACATCCCTGCCTTAGGTTTTAAGTCCATTACTCTACCGACTAAACCACTGTCAAAGCTACCAAATTACTTCTCTTAAGAGAAATATTAAGCTAACACAATTACTGTAATGAGCTATTAAAATAATCTCAGGTATTCAGTCTTCAGTCAGGGAATATTAAACTCACGACACAGTCAGTTATCCCATACACAATTAATGCTCAAAATTTCTTTTGCGACAAGTTCTAGAAAATTGGTTGATCGTATTATACGCGAAGATGTCTGATTCATTTTAGAAAAGAGATTATAGGCTTCTGAAGTACCCCATTGGATGTCGCACTTTTGTGTGAAAATGGCCTTAAGCATAGGTTTAAATTATTTTTGTCCGCTATTTTTTCATTTTCATCGTCACATGTTCGCTTATTTTGCTAGAACGAATACTAAACTCTTTTAAAGGGAAATAGTACGAATCCATTATAATTTTGAGGACAGTCTGACGATCGAGCCCATTCATCTTGGACCAAAATTCAAAACGTTATCTATAAGACTAGAAGCACACTTAAAACTATTATTTTGTGTTTGATAAGGTACATTGTGTGTTTCTCTGGCCTTACTAGAGTAATATGTCGACAATCTTCTTTATTCTCAAAACTACATGATATCGGAGCCATATAACGCATTTTTAAATATGTGTTGCCGGAATGTCTTACTCGTAGTAGAATTATCTTTTATTTCTCAAATGTATTTATAAATTTAGATATAATTTTATTTGTCTCTAATAATGCCCAAATCAGCTAGCTACATATTATAAATTGTAATATTAACAATAATATTCAATTATGTATACTCATATAAACAATATTACAACCATAATTTAGCAGTTCATTCAGAATGACTCCAACGTCGTAAGAGTAAAATTATAGCAAGAGTTTCAACTCTAGAGTTTAATAACAGTTCCACTTTGTGAAGAAATAAATCGTGAGTATAACACGAAACAGGTACCTTTATCTTGGGTTTTCAATTGCTTTATGAAAGGTCGATTTGTATACTCAAAGGAAGCTTTTATGTTGTTTTATAATTTTAAAAGACACGAGAACATGACAGGTTTCAGTCAAAGAATTTATTTCAGGCTGATATAGTTCTTTATTTGCGTCAGTAAAATCTTTAACAAAAGAATTGGAAATTATTTTTGACAGTACGAAATTTTAACATATTACTACGGTGCATTGATAGTGACGCTATGTTTTAGTAGGCTACTATCATTGATTTTATTTAGTAGTAGTATATATTTTTAGTGCGAGTCTATTATACAATTTGTATTCTAAAAGAGATTATAGGCTTCTGAAGTACCCCATTGGATGTCGCACTTTTGTGTGAAAATGGCCTTAAGCATAGGTTTAAATTATTTTTGTCCGCTATTTTTTCAGTTTCATCGTCACATGTTCGCTTATTTTGCTAGAACGAATACTAAACTCTTTTAAAGGGAAATAGTACGAATCCATTATAATTTTGAGGACAGTCTGACGATCGAGCCCATTCATCTTGGACCAAAATTCAAAACGTTATCTATTAGACTAGAAGCACACTTAAAACTATTATTTTGTGTTTGATAAGGTACATTGTGTGTTTCTCTGGCCTTACTAGAGTAATATGTCGACAATCTTCTTTATTCTCAAAACTACATGATATCGGAGCCATATAACGCATTTTTAAATATGTGTTGCCGGAATGTCTTACTCGTAGTAGAATTATCTTTTATTTCTCAAATGTATTTATAAATTTAGATATAATTTTATTTGTCTCTAATAATGCCCAAATCAGCTAGCTACATATTATAAATTGTAATATTAACAATAATATTCAATTATGTATACTCATATAAACAATATTACAACCATAATTTAGCAGTTCATTCAGAATGACTCCAACGTCGTAAGAGTAAAATTATAGCAAGAGTTTCAACTCTAGAGTTTAATAACAGTTCCACTTTGTGAAGAAATAAATCGTGAGTATAACACGAAACAGGTACCTTTATCTTGGGTTTTCAATTGCTTTATGAAAGGTCGATTTGTATACTCAAAGGAAGCTTTTATGTTGTTTTATAATTTTAAAAGACACGAGAACATGACAGGTTTCAGTCAAAGAATTTATTTCAGGCTGATATAGTTTAGGCTACTATCATTGATTTTATTTAGTAGTAGTATATATTTTTAGTGCGAGTCTATTATACAATTTGTATTCTATTCAACGTAATCTTTACCGAGCAAATAAGTGTATGACTCTTCTGTAATTATGACTATTGTTGTACCGGTACATTTTCAAACCATTTTAGTCATGTAAACAAAATCCCTAAAGAAATGTAATTGTCAAAACCTTTGTATTGAAGTAAACGTGCGCCAAACTTCATGAACAAAACAAATTCACTTGATTAAAGTTATGGTTTTGTTATATATATTTTTTTGCAAAATATATATAAAATGAATGAATAATATTTAATAAATGCATATGATTGTTATATAGTTTTTTAGTTGTATGAGAAATCATTTAAAGTAATATCTGAAAATAGAGACAATAAATTATTATAAAAACACATCTTTGATAAAAAAATATGTCCCAAACTGACAGTAATATTTTATAAGTAGGAGGTGATATCTAACCGACGACAGAGCGTTCGCTTAACTTTCTTTTGAAAAGAATGGGAAACCTCTTACAAAGAAGTCTAAGTTGACCGAAAAAGAAATTCTGAAAGAAGAACTTACTTGGCACATTACAGTTTTCTGGATTGTGACCCCTTTTAACAACCGGATGTTCTATCATAGTCAATTGTGAGAATTATGAAGAACTTTTAAGGAAATTATTTAAAATAGTAAAATACGGCGAAGAAATAAAAATATAGTAAATACAAAAGTACGATTTGATTATACAGGATGAAATAAATCACCATGACGGTTATATATTTCAAATAATAATTAAGATCGAGTTACAAAATTTGGAACAAGGTTACTTGGCATAAAAATAATATTAACGCATTGTTCAGTGATACGCTACCTCATCAGGGGGGTGGCCCGCTATGAGTCATAAGAAAATATTAAATGTAAGCATAGGTTGATTCGCACATCAAATTAAAAGACTTTAATTTTAAATTACAATGCTGCAAACTTCAACTCAAACAAATAACCAAGTCAAATGACAGCTGTTCAAAGATTTCTGTAATTTTACATTTTGAATATTTGAACGGCTGCCATTTTTTACCCAGTCGTTCTTTCCAGCTCAAATTCGTGGCGTTTGGTTATACCATTAAAGACCTTTAATTTAACGTGAATTTCGACCTATGCGTACTTTTTCTATTTTCATCCGATTTCTAATGGCCCCCTGAGGAAGTTGTGTATAATAAGGCTTGCCAATTTAAAGTATCTTTGAACAGCTGTCATTTTTGACTCGGTTGTCCGTTTGAATTCGGGTTTGCGGCATTGTTTTTTTTTTACTAACAAAGACCTTTAATTAGATGTGCATATAAAACTATGTTTACATTTAAGATTTTCTTATGTCTTTTAGCAGGCCACCCCCCTGAAAGACGCAGCGTATCACTAAACAACGTATCAAAATTATTTTAATGCCTGTGAACCTTGTACCAAGTTTTGTAGCTCCATCTTTATTATTATTTAAAATATTTTTCTTCCCCGGGACTTCTTTCCACCCTGCTTATGGTTATACTAGAGTAATAACCTTTTTGTATATTTCATCAGTTACTACGGTATGTAGGCTAATTCACAAAATAAATTGAAGATAATTAAAAAAAGGAAAACGTTTGTGGTACATGAATTACTCTTTACAGCTACACAACATTATTTCAACTTGTAATAGTTATTTTCTATACTACAAGAAAATATTTCTTTATTTGTTTATTTTGTAACCAGTTATCAATATATTCTGCCCTTAGCATCCGATTTTACTGCAGTCTTACTATTGGCACAGGAATTGTTAAACTGTAAATATAAAAAGTAATATTTTCACATTTTCTTGATTAGTCTCATCTGTTTAAGCGGGAAATATTCTGATCTGCTTCTCACTGACGTTTAATTTTAAAGCCAATTCCAGATGTAGGGGATAGTATTCCACCAACGTTGTTTAACCTATATATATAGTATGTAGTAAATAACATCGAGTTGTATTGAAAGTTATATTATATATACTCAATACATAAAATATTATTAAAAATATTACTTTCTCTATTACTGTGAGGCGATATTCCTTATCTTCATTCATCTGCCTAATTATTTTAATTTATTTTTGAACGCGTACCATAGAATGTGATTCCAAATAGTTAACAACACGCATGCTATTCACAACTTGACGATTTGGTTACCTATTATTACTACAGCATGTTTTATATTTTCTTTATTATAGGCGTTGTAATAAACACAGTTTGGAAAGAGTCTTAGAATCTGATCTATGAAATGGAGTATGACTACGTTTGGTATGTGTTTGTTTTGATACTCACATGCTTTGTGAAAGAAACTTGGAAAGTGCCAGACGGGAAATTGGATTGTTCTTGAGTCCGTCGAACATGGTGAGTTTCTTTCAAATATCCAGTATTTAAGAATTCGATCGCAAAACAACTCTCCTATAGAAAACAGTTTGTGCGGAATTATAACCTCTATGAACCACTAATTTTAACAGGCTTCGTTACGAAACAGCATTACAAAACAGCGCAAAAATGTCAACTTTATGAAAAATCGTATATTGTCGATATAAAGTTAACAATACGTTCAATCACGTATCAAAATACGAAAAATGCCTTTAAAATACGAACAACAATGCTACAAACACAACATTACGATGTAACATGGAAGAAAAACTCACACCTGATAACAATAGTATAGTAACAAGATACGAACTACAACAAGAGACAAGACACTAGCCGCGGTTCTGATATTGATATGGTCGGCACTACACATACGTTACAACGCCAGATAACAACGTAGACCTACTAGCTACGTATCACATTCATATCGTAAGGCTAAATCGTAATTTTAGGCCAAAATCTACCACTACACTTCGAGGTTAAGCCACTATAAGACACGGTTTACTATGACACTTATATCGACTGTTCACCCATAAGTCGAATGTCTTCAGAACTCACATGGACAGTCCGACAGCAACTCGAAAACTATCTAAAATGTTTTTAACTACAACAATTCTTACTAAGCCGGATAACTAGCTATATACATTAACGATAACAGTATAAAAAGTAAAACTCTTAAACTCGGTCCGAGATAGGTAAAAAATGTCCAGTTGCGAAGAGCATGTCCGTGCAGATATGGCAGCCTGTATTGAAGACTCCTAGGTCCGGACACTGACGGGAACTAAACATTCGAGCGACCCATCGACATACCCGTGAAGAGCGGCGCGTTGGCGTCACGCTATGAACGGCGCTGGCAGGTTACTGTTTATCGGTGGTAAGGGAGTGTCGCCTGCCACCAGCCACTAGTACCGCCACCCACTGACTTACCCACCGCCTCCCTCCACCAACACTCCCTACCACCGTCACCGTGACCGTCACCGCCACAGGCATTGTCACTGTCACAGGAAACGTCACCGTCACAAGCACCATCAACTGTTAATGTCACAATCACAGACATCTTTATAGTCATAAGCATCGTCACCGTCGCAAGCATCGTCACCGTCGCAAGCATCGTCACCGTCGCAAGCATCGTCACCGTCGCAAGCATCGTCACCGTCGCAAGCATCGTCACCGTCGCAAGCATCGTCACCGTCACAAGCAACATCACTGTAACGGTCACAATCACAGACATCTTCATAGTCACAGGCGACGTCATAGTCACATGCAACGGCCACCGTCACAAGAATCGTTACTGTGACTGTCACCATCACAGGCAACGTCACCATTACAGGCAACGTCACCATCACAGGTATCGTCACCGTCGCAAGCATCGTCACAGCCACAAGAATCCTCACCGTCACAAGAATCGTCACCGTCACAAGCAACATCACTGTAACTGTCACAATCACAGACATCTTCATAGTCACAGGCGACGTCACCGGTACATGCAACGTCACCATTACAGGCAACGTCACCATCACAGGTATCGTCACCATCACAAGCATAGTCACCCTCACAAGCATCGTCACTGTAACAAGTATCGTCACAGTCCCTAAGCATCGTAACCGTCACAAGCATTTTCACTGTGACTGTCAACGTCTTATACATCGTCACCGTCACAGACAACGTCAGCATCACAGGCAAAGTCACCATCAGAGACAACGTCACCATCACATGCAACGGCCACCGTCACAAACATCTTCACTGCAAGCATAGCAAGAGTCACAAGCATCGTCAAAGTCACAAGCATCATCGCCGTCACAAGCACCGCCACTGTGCATCGTTACCATCGCAAGCATCGTTACAATCCCAAGCATCGTCACCGTCACAATCACCGTCACTGTGACTAGCACCATCACAGGCATTGTCACCGTCACAGACATCTTCATAGCCACAGGCAACGTCACCGCTATAAGCATCGTCGCCGTCACAAGCATCGTAACGGCCACCGTCACATGTAACGGCCACCGTCATAAACATCTTCACTGTGACTGTCACCACAACAGACATCTTCATATTCACAGACAACGGTACCGTCACATGCAACGGCAACCGTCACAAGCATCGTCACTGTGACTGTCACCGTCACAGGCAACGTCAGCGTCACAGGAAACGTCACCGTCAGTGGCAACGTCAACTTCTCAGGCATCGTCACTGTTACAGAAAACATCACCGTCACAAGCATCGTCACCGTCAAGAGCACCATCACTGTGACTGTCAACACCACAGACATCTCTATAGTCACATGCAACAGCCCCCCACACAAGCGTCGTCACTGTGGCAGTCACCGCCATAGACATCTTCATATTCACATACAGCGTTACACAAGCTTTAGAGAAAAACGACGTAGGTGCTTACAACCAAACAAAATGTCTAATTCATTAGTCAACGAATCAGATTATACAAAATGAATTTTTCCTGGAATTGTATAAGGAGTTCACACCCTCATATCCTACTTATTTTTTTATCAATGCAATGTAAAATTTTAGATCAAAGTCTTTTAACAAGGGATAAAGCATTGCTCTAAACTGTTGCGAGGGTAATAATATTGGATTTGGCAGCTCCTATTGATTGATACTAATTAAGGCAAATCATTTGGCCATTACCGAACTAACAATGTAATCAAGGATGATTATTCTACTCTGTTTTCACTGAGTCATTGATATATTGAATGGACGATTAAATATCAAACCAATGCTATAAAGTTATACAATCTGACAACACTTTACTCTGTTCAATGTGAATTGTTAGGTTATTGTGGTTTTAAATTATTTCGACTTTGGTAAATGTAAAATACAATGTGTGTATGACTTAGTTTCAAGAGAAACAAATGTGTAATGTATTCGTCACCTAAGAAACACCAATCAAAATAAAGGCCTTTTTAAAATTAAGGTGCAGATTTTAATAAGTTTATTAATTAAAACTTATTTATTTGCCATAATTAATCAAATTATGGGATAGAACAAATCGGTTTCACATTCATCTCAGTTTATCAAATTTTACTATATTATAACGCGACAATTTGTTTATTTACGTCAAAAATTACAAGTTTTTCTTTTCAAGATGTTTGTCTTTTTTCATAAATCTGTATTGCATGTTCAACGTTACCTTCTTCTTTGCATAAGCACAGTTTACACGGTTTGATTTGATTTGCAATAAAAAAAAAAAAACAAAAAAAGTGTTGGATAGTAATAAGTGGGCGGTGAGTTTATACTAAAGTGAAACTACCCAAATTTTGGTCAATCCAATACCATATAAATAATACTAATCATATAAACATTTTAATTTTATTAATAAATAGAATCTGTTCCTTGAAACACCATTTGGAGCTAATGCAAACTACCACAACCATTTTAGTGAATTAATAATATCATAGTTCCCTACCATACGGTATTCACTTACCCATTGTAAAATACTATGCCTGAACAGTTTTTAATATGAAATAACCAAATAGGCAGTAATTCTGTGTTTGAATACATAAAATTTGCGGGTAACTTTATTGTTCGCGCCCGTTGCAAAATCTCAAATATTTCATTGACTCAGTTAAGTCTTACTTGGAAATACTAAAATTAACTCATAGGAAGAAGTGAAGGAGACAAACTTCTCATCATTGACTAGTAGGGACATTGGCGAAGAGAGTTACTTCAGAAATGACATCGATGATGTATTAGTGTCCCTCAAACAGAGTGATAACATATTTATTGTTGCTGTTAAACTTTTAGAGACAAAACCTTTTTTAAATCATCACAGCCAAAGCATATTGTAATTTGGTAAAATAACATAATTCTGGAATATATTGAAATTTCGCTTTGCTCTGTGTGGTCGTTGTCTTTGCCTGACCTGGCCTGCCGAGTGGTTATGGTGCCTAACTTTAGTCTAAATCGGTGGTTGGTTATATTCCAAGTGAGATTAACTCTGCACACATATAATTTTGTGTTCGGACATTTATTTATAGAATAATCTGGCAAAAGGTCAATAATAAATAACACCTAAACCAGAGATTAAACCATCCACTTAACAAGGTAAAAGAATAAATATACCAAGAACATAGCCCAATTAGATTTATTACCCATGAAATTCAAAAGTCAGATAGTTTACCGGCCAAGCGGGTACAATCACTGAAGTGCCTGTATTACAGGACTTTTAATTTTAAATTTACAATCCTTTATAATCATGTTTCATAAAAATAACTTTACTCTAGTAAAATCTCCTATAATATTTGCGAGTATTATAAGTCCCGGTATTTTTACTCATAGCTGTGAATGGTATTTTTAAATATAATTTTGTTATTATGTATAGTCATCAATAAGAGAAAGTATTGCCCTTACTGTCTTTAATTTTGTGTTAATCGTTTTATAAAATTCGAACATGGCTAAACGCGAAGAAAAATGCAACCAAAACATAAACCATTTGACTATACAAATTTCAATTAGTGTGATTGAATTTTTTCTGAAATATTTCCATATACAAGTATTTTTTTCCTATTGAAGTAACGTTATGTTTCGTGTACTAAGGCCTGCTGCTATGGGGAAGGGAAAGGTTTTTTATTTTATTTTAAGGCCTCTTCTCCCAGTTACCCGCATTTGATGATGCCGCAGCGGAGTTCTTAAGCGGGGTTTACACGATGCCAGTTGGCAAGACAATTGTCTTTGCCAATTGGCATCACGTGGTTTTGGAATTGTCGTAGGCCAGGCAAGTTGAACGATAACCTGTTCACACGTGGCCAACACTTGCCCACGCATTTTACAGTGAACCAGGGTACTACTGCTAAAAGACAAGACAGTGCTATTGGCCTCTACACCGTTTACACGGTGCCAATTGTCACGACAACTGGGTTTTCGAGGGGTGGGGGCCTCACTGGGCCCAGCTCATTGTCCTCAGTCTACTCCCGGAGACAACTGAATTTCGGGACAGTTGGTGGGACAATTGGCTTGCCAATTGGCCTGAAGTGTTTACACGAAGCCAGTAATTTCAAGCCAGTCAGTTGTCTCCTGGCAATTGTCTCGCCAACTGGCATCGTGTAAACCCGGCTTTAGTGCTCCTTGCATCAACCGTTGGGAGAGAGAAACGCTCCCTGGTTTGCTGAGGGCGTTTCTTTGGAGCTGGATTGTGCCCAGTGTGGGGTGTCATCTGGGTGGCCCTGTCCTCAACCTTCTGCCCGGTATCTGACAGAGGCTGGTTGGCCAACTCAGGAAGATCGGGACTATCTGTTGGTGAGCTCTTTGTCCGTTTCCTTCGATTCCCACCCTTGTCGCTTAGTTTAGGGGCTGACACTTGGTTCACAAGCTACCGTTCATTAACCAGAGCCTGTCTCATCAAACCTTTCATTTCAAGAACTTGGGCAACACGGTCCTTCGCCTTCGGGAGTTCATCCTTGATACACTGGTTTACGTTGATCTGGTCCCTCAAGGTCCCCTCCATGTTTTTGACGAGGCTTATTATCTCTACCATAAAATTATACTCCTCCTCATCAGCATCGTCGTATTGTTCACGCAAACTTTAAAGTTCAGGATTTGTCCTTAAGGGTCTGTTTTTCGGTGCGGCGCTTTCCATGATCGTCAGGAGAGTTACCGGCAACGCCGGTTCAACGTCAAATTCCTCCAATTCCTTCACAACTTGTCAAAGGAGATCCTGGTAGGGGAAACCCCTTTGAGCACTTGGCTGTTGCAAGTTGTGGAGTTGTCTTTAGGTTGTTCGCTGGCCCAAAAGGGTTTCGCTCCTTTTCCGACCTCGTTTATTGCTTCTTCGAGATGCTACTAAGTAATGTGTTAGGGGGTTAGTTTTGACAAGCTATGTATCTATTTCTCTACTAGGCAAGATGGTTTAAAGTTAATTGAATATATAAATTTAAAGTGATATTTGTGCTACAAAGTATGCATGGATATAATCCAATA